CCCCTCCTCTCCCTCTCCTCCTCCTGTAGCCACCTCCACGGTCTCAATATAGAGTGATTTGTTAGAGAAAAACGCGTTGGGGCCGAAGTGTAGCTCCAGGCGAGTGACTGTTGTCAGAATCCCAACCACTAGACCATTGGGATAAAAGGGCTTGTTAAGTAGCGGGTCAGAGTGCGCCCATAACCCCCCAGGCGAACGTGCCTGTAACCCCCCTAGGATCAATCGGGCATCCACAGTGCAGATCTACTGACACCCCCCCACACTGGGAGGCCCAGGACTGAGCACAGCGGCAACGGCCTTCATGTGCATACACCGGGATTCGAACCCGAGACCACTCTGACACCATGTCAGAATCCCAGTCACTAGACCATTGGGATAGAAGGGCTTGTTAAGTAACGGGTCAGAGTGCACCCATAACCCCCCAGGCGAACACGCCTGTAACCCCCCTAGGATCAATCGGGCATCCACAGTGCAGATCTACTGACACCCCCCCACACTGGGAGGCCCAGGACTGAGCACAGCGGCAACGGCCTACATGTGCATACACCGGGATTCGAACCCGAGACCACTCTGACACCATGTCAGAATCCCAGTCACTAGACCATTGGGATAGAAGGGCTTGTTAAGTAGCGGGTCAGAGTGCGCCCATAACCCCCCAGGCGAACACGCCTGTAACCCCCCTAGGATCAATCGGGGATCCACAGTGCAGATCTACCGACACCCCCCCACACTGGGAGGCCCAGGACTGAGCACAGCGGCAACGGCCTACATGTGCATACACCGGGATTCGAACCCGAGACCTTACTGACACCATGTCAGAATCCCAGTCACTAGACCATTGGGATAGAAGGGCTTGTTAAGTAGCGGGTCAGAGTGCGCCCATAACCCCCCAGGCGAACGTGCCTGTAACCCCCCTAGGATCAATCGGGCATCCACAGTGCAGATCTACTGACAACTGTCCCGACTATGCCTTTATCAGAGGCACCGCTGTTGTCACCAGCAGCTTTACCACCGCCCTTAGCGGGAGACGTGAGGCGCACACGCACGTCCCTTAGGCTTCCCAATGCATCCTCGTCTCGCTTGTGAATGAACTCTGCTACAGCATCCTGTGAGGGCGGGGAAGCGACGAGAGAAGTGAGGGGGGCGAGTCAAGGCATCATCTGCACACGCACGTCCCTTACGCTCTCCAAAGCTTCCTAATCTTGCTTGTGAATGGATTCTGCTACAGCGTTCTGAGAGGGCGGGGGAGGGGAGTAGAGGGGAAGGGAGAAGCGAGTGATGGGAGAGAGGGGAGGTGGTAGGGACAGGGAGAGCGAGCGGCCAGAGGAAACGACAAGAGTGAGGCATTCAGCAGGTCTGCACACAAGTGTGTGGCAGGCCTGCACATGGGGATGGTGTGGAGCGTGGGGGGTGAGAAATAACCAAGACAGAAAAAAAGATGCCTTCAGCAGGGCTCACAACAGTATGTAGGTTTCAGATGTATAAAAAAAGGGATCCACGTACATGTTTCTTCAAAACTGTGAGCCAAAACTTGGGCACGGAGGGGAGGCTGGGAGAGGCGTGAGATGCCAGGACGTGTTAACAAAAAGGGATCCACGTACATGCTTCTTCTAGACAGTGAGCCAAAGCGTTTGAATCAACTCAGCAAAAAGGATACACGCACATGCTTCTTGAAGACAGTGAGCCAAAGCGTCTGAGTCAGCTCAGCTCAAAAGTTACCTGGAATTTGTGTCAACAGGAGGATCCACGTACATGCTTCTTCAAAACTGTTAGCCAAGACGGCTGAGTCAACTCATAAGTCGTCTGAAATTCGTGTCAACAGAAGGATCCACGTACATGCTTCTTCAAGACTGTGAGCCAAAACTTGGGCATGGACGGGAGGCCGGGAAAGGCGTGAGATGTCAGGACACGTGTTAACAAAAGGATCCAATACACGTACATGTTGTCAGAACATTATAGCTCATGCATATTGTGTAGGCTATAGTGGGGTACTCCATAAGGGGTACAACCCAATTAGGGTTAGTACTTGTACCCAATTCATTCATAGTTCATCTCATTCCTGTTTTCTTGATTCACATGGTATAGAGCGGGTTCCTACATGGGACCGTTCCTTCCTAAGGGCCCACCATAAGAATTTTTTTTTTAGCTGCCCGCGCACATTGCGCCCTGCCCTAAATTTTTTTTTTTTTAGCGGCCCCTTCGCTGCCCCTACGCGGCCCCTACGCCGCCTCCCACGCGCCCCCTATGCGGCCCCTGGCGGCGCCCTGACGAGACCCCTGCCGGCGCCCTATCGCGGCCCCTGACGCGCCCCCTGGTGGCGCCCTGACGCGGCCCCTGGCGGCGCCTGACGCGGCCCTGACGCGGCCTGACGCGGCCCCTGGCGGCGCCCTGACGCGGCCCCTGCCGCGGCCCTGACGCGGCCCTGCCGCGGCCCCTGACGCGGCCCTGACGCGGCCTGCCGCGGCCCCTGCCGCGGCCCTGAACCGGCCCCTGACGCGGCCCTGACGCGGCTCTGCCGCGGCCCTGACGCGGCTCTGCCGCGGCCCTGACGCGGCCCTGACGCGGCCCTGCCGCGGCCCCTGGCGGCGCCCTGACGCGGCCCCTGACGCGGCGCCCTGACGCGGCCCCTGCCGCGGCCCTGACGCGGCCCTGCCGCGGCCCCTGACGCGGTCCTGACGCGGCCTGCTGCGGCCCCTGCCGCGGCCCTGAAGCGGCCCCTGACGCGGCCCTGACGCGGCTCTGCCGCGGCCCCTTACGCGGCCCTGACGCGGCCCTGCCGCGGCCCCTGGCGGCGCCCTGACGCGGCCCCTGACGCGGCACCCTGACGCGGCCCTGCCGCGGCCCCTGACGCGGCCCCTGCTCGCGGCCCCTGACG